AAAAAAAAAAAAAAAGGGAAGGGGAGAAGAATTGGGGGGTTTTAATCACATGCCCATGGAAAAAAACCGATAAAAACTAGGTAACCAGGGATTTAATCAGCATCCCTTGTAAATAGCTTTATGGATTTGTTTTATAACACTTAAATGTGTTGTTTTAACACATGAGCGAACTAAACAAGTTCTTTTATATTGCATTGAGTCCTTGGCTCTGTAACAGTGATGAGTAGCAAGCCTTTACTCATTAATAGTAAACTGGCTGTTTTTCATTTGGCTGTGTGTGACCTCTGAAAAGCACACGGTAGCAGGTGGCTCATCTGACCTCGAGGTAAACGTTATATAAGAGAGAGCGTGCGTCCCTGTGATCGATCTACTCCACACACTGCTTCCCATCACACACCTGTGGGATGAAAGTGACCATACTTTCAAACAGCTCTGTTTTACATAAAGTCTATTACCCACCAAAACCCCACATTAAACCTGCCTGTGCAGGAGGCTGGCTCCTGTTTGGGCCACACATTTTCATCCTCAGTGTCCACTTTCTTCACGCTCCTTTGCTGTTTTGGCTCAATAAAACAAAAACATTTGATAAGACTTGTCTAGAGATCAGCTTTACGCTCACTGAGAGCAACAAATAAATAAAATAAACGTGAATGTACAAAGCGCTGCTGTTCAGATGACGCATAAGAAGCTTTTCTTTTTAAAGCAGTGCGAGCTCTGAACTAGTGTGGACATGGGTTAAAGGGGATGTGAGAACAGAAGCAGAATTTCACCACTTCCTCTTCCCGTCTCCATTAACAGCATCATTATACTCCTTATGCTTCTATGGCAACATTTTCCACCAGTGATTTAGTGGGCCAACGTAATCTATAACAGTATATTATGATGGGTTGTTTTATACTACAAATTAATTCTGCAACAAAATAATTTTTTAATAAAAAAACAATTAAAAAGTAGAAAATACTGAGTGCAAGAAGTACATATTTTATATACAGTTTATCATCAAACCCTTTCCTTTAGTTGCAGTCTGAATTATTTCACTGTTAGTTAAAGAAAATCGTGTTTTTCACAGGTTGAATTTACCTTTAATTTGACTCAAACTCATAAATCATACATCACAGGTAATAATAATGAGAAACACTGAAGAAAGGAATCGTAATGATAACAAAAAGTAGACAGCTCATATTGGGAATTGTAATTTAACGCCAGAAATCCTTATGCCTCTTCTTACAGCAGGTCTCACTTTCTACTTTAAAAAGACGATACGTCATTTTGAAATGAAACCTCTCGAGTACATAGAAGGAGATGGCAGCACCGCACGGTTTAAGCGAACAAGGAAGGGAAACGCAGTGAGCCAGTCAACTCGTTATCAGTCAGCCCTAAAACGGCCCTTTAATTAAAAGCAGGAGGTAATGAACGCGCTCGGGAGTCTGATTAGCAGCTAATGCCCCTTGCTGGGAGCTGATGGGCTTCCCCGTCTGCCCTTTTAAAGCCAGACTGAATGGCACAATACTGTGTGTGTAGTGACTCACCAGAAGAAGCCATCAACCACAGCAGTACACCTCTGGATTAAAAACTGTAACGCCTCGGGATTTACAGACTTATAAAGTGGCTTGGAAGTGTAAGTGTTGAATGTGTTTTACATTAGGAGGGCTCTTTTTTTTGAACTTCTTCTCACTATCCTCTCTGAGGATGAATCACCTCAGTGGTTGGCATAATAATAAGCCAGTCAGCTACTAACACCCTCAGCAAGCCAGCAGGGAATAATAATAATAATGATAACAATAACTAGATAGATAGATAACGTCAGTGCTAAGATGAAGCTCAAAGTGTAATTAAAACTGTAAGTGCAAACAGGTAATTACATCAATACAAACGGCTAAAATTGTTAGCTAGATGCATTTAACAGAAATGAGCATGCTAACAA